AAAGAAGTAGCTCTTATCTGGTACCTTATGTCATTTGTTGTTTCTTCCGCTGTACATTTTTCCAAAACCCAAAAATATTTCAGTCATTTTCTAGAGATTTCATCACTTTGACGCTTCATAATAAATTAGACCTCTGCTTTGTCTGTGGACAATGATGCTTCAATTAAATCACTCTATCATTTTCATCCTCTACCTTATAATGAACATATTCTTTACATTTGTGCACAATATTTCTTATCTCCCCTTTACACAACTAATAATGTCCGTGCCAACCAGACCTCTGAGTTTCAATGCTGCTGCCTTGACTTGTTAAATCTTATGTATAATTCTTACAGTTCTTTATGTGGTATATAAAAAGGTTTTATGCTGCCCAGATCTCCACACAGTCACTAAAATATGGCAGAATGAGTGGACACACAGAATGTTCATCGTTATAATCGAACAAATACTTTGCTTAGTTCAAAACAGAAATATTCTTTACGACTTTTTTTTAACATTCATGACATGAAATTTGACTTCAGACACTGTTGTCATCCTAATTTTTACCCATAATACTTTGTGCTAAAGGTGTTAAATCGTCTCCTATGTAAAAAAAAAAAAAAAAATCTCCCTCAATATCTATCATACCTCAATCATGGTCAATTTATTGGGATTTTTTTGTCAACAATTTACAAATAAAGACTCTTTCATGTCAGAGTGAAAACAGATTTCCAAGTTTATTTTAATTATTTAAAAATGTAAAATAAGTGGTGGTTTAATTATTCAGTTCCTTCAAGTCAATATTTAGTTGATGCACATTTGGTCACAATTACAGCCTTGGGCATGTGTGGATTAGCTAAGCTAAGAAGAGCTAGCATAGCCATGTTTTAGCTCGCTTACTATTTGTTATATAATAGCTATTTGTAGCTAGTTTACTTTTGCTCCTAGCATGTAGAAAAACATTAAATATATTAACATTTTTAAGTGAATGAATAAGTAGGCCTATTTGGTGACCATGGCAAATGGTCAAAATACTTTCAAAAGCCCTAAGTCCTGTTTGAGTTGTATGGTTGAACTGAAAATTGTATGGTTAGTTGAAGACCAATACTAAATTGATTACTTATCTTCTAAATTTCTTTATTTAAATATATATATATACACCTCATTTTGCCAGAAGTCTGTGTAAAAAAAAAAAAGAAAGAAAAGTTGGGAGCTGAGAGAGTGGACTTAGTAAATTAAATAAATATTTTACCATTTCAGCAATACTCATAATGCATTTTGTGGCAATAAATACAAGCACTTATACAAACAATTGTTAGTGACTTATTTAATATTTGACCCTAGTGTGAGATCTAAACTTTCAAACGGGGGATGAGTTTTTAGGGCTTTTAATCAACAAATGAAAACTTTTAATATTTTCCATTAGTTATTTGAGAAAGTGAAAATATAATATATTCTAGACTCCTTAAACGTAAAGTGAAATATTTCAAGCTTTTTGGGTTGTTTCAATTTTGATGATTATGGCTTCTAGCTCATGAAAATCAAAAATGTATTTTACTTTTTTTTAGATTCACTGGTCCGTTGTTTACCGTGACAAAAATGGCGGCTGTCATGTGACCGGCAGGTGTCGCTGCAGCCGTTGCTCCTCCGTGGCGCCACTTCCGGCGCGTCAGTCCCTCGCACAACACGGAACATGGCGGCCAGCTCGGATCGGAATCCACCTCCTTTCCCCGCAACAGAGGAGCCTGAGCCCGGACTCCCTGACATGGCAGACGGCGACAGCGACGAGGGAGAGGACATATTCGTCAGTAACGTACGTTTGCAGGCTCAACAAGCCGATATATTTATTATAATAGCGGCATTAAGTGAGCGAGTCCGAGCCAGGAAGTCAGGCAGCCTCTTTATCTGATCTGACCTGCATTCATGGCATCCAAAATAAGTGACAGAGGCCACAAGTGATGGCAGATTCTGTGTGAAATGTATTGCTAAACGTAGCTAAAGTTGCTATCCTGCGCACAATTTCAGCAGTTCGGACTTAAAACTACAAAGTTTTTGCTTTCGGTTCGTTTGGCCTGTCCTGTTGCTTAATAGCTAATTCGATGAGTTTTTGCTAAACGTCCCTTAACGTAGACTTCTCTCTGAGTAATACCAAGTTGGTCGTTGCTAATATTCGGCTCACATGGCTCCACCCTGTGATCCCTGCCTGTCTGGAGTGTGATATAACGGTCAGTAGACCCTGGTGCTCCGCTCTGATGTTCGTGCGGCTCATTAAACGCTCCTGTCTGCAGAGTAACCCGGTTTCTGTGAGCCGAGGAGTTTCTCAGCCGGACCGAGTCAACGACGAGCCTCCAGACCTGTTCGGTGAGGAGGAGGAGGCCGGCAGCACCACGGCCAAGTCCAACGGAGTTCACTCTGATGATGACAACGACCTGTTTGCTGGTGAGGACACACTTTCTGACACTTTTATCCCGTTCTGTTGTCATTTTGCTGCACTTACAGGTGTTTCAAACAAATCCAGCTCATGTGAGGCTGATTTATTGCCAGTTTTATGCAAATCCTGCACATCATGTTCAGTGTGCCAGTCATCAGGGTTACCATTGCTGCTAATAATGCAGCTTTCTTTATAAAATAGGCTTCAAAAACAGCGCTCGAGTAAATCCTGACTTGCACAGTAAAAACCTACAACATCAGGAAAGCTAATGAATAAACAGCTTACACTACGTGGAACTAGAAACTTGCTGTTTTTTATTATTTAAAGAAGAAAAACTGAAAATATTTTGATTGTGCCAATATGAAAGAGTGGATGACGTAAAATGAAGAAATAAAACAACAGGATAGAATTACTATAACAGTGTGTTCATGCGTTTTCATATCCAATCAGTACTGGAGGAACTCCTCCTCTTTCCACATTCTCGTTCCCCCTCTATCACATGCCAGACTGCTGATTAAAAAAGCTTAAATAAAATAAGGTGAAACTTTACTAATGCCAAAGGAAATTCTTTTGCTATATATTCCTAAGAAAACAAAATAGCATGACATTAGGAAATGCAGTGAAAAACAATACAGTATAAGTAAGAAACATTACTGAAAATAAAACAGTAAGCAAACACAGGGATATAGAAAAGAAAAGAAGTAATACTGGCAATGATACCATGAGGTAGCAAAGTAATATCACAAATGATAATTAAATATTGCATGTGACATTTGAATATTCATCCATTATCTATCCATTTCTATACACCGCTTAATCCTCACTAGGATCATGGGGGGCTGGAGTCTATCCCAGCTGACTTAGGGTGAAGGCAGGGGACACCCTGGACAGGTCACCAGTCTATCACAGGGCTACACTTAGAGACAGACAACCAAGCGCACTCACATTCACACCTACAGACAATTTAGAATCATCAGTTTACCTCAGCATGTTTTTGGACTGTGTGGGAGGAAGCTGGAGAACCCGGAGAGAACCCACGCTGCACGGGGAGAACATGCAAACTCCACGCAGAATCCTGGGTGTCCTCACCGGGACACGAACCAGCAACCTTCTTGCTGCGAGGCACATAAAAAATGAAATATTGCACATTGCATTGACCTGTTGAATCTATGCAGACATAAGTGCAGATGTGCTTCAGTGCACATGTTAGTCACTTGCTGTCTCTGTTTCTGCAGGAATTGAGTCGATCATTTATATGTTGTTGAGCTGCAAACTTGTGAATTCTAGATTCTATAGCAGCTTGCAGAAACGAAAGTTAACGTTACCAGTGTGAACGCTGCATGTGCATAAAGAGATGTTTACCACATTGGTATTTTAGCTGTAAAGATAAAGCCATATTAAACAATTATCATTCCCCCTTTACTGTCTCGCCAAACGCAGATGGTGAAAAAAGTTCACCTACCTCAAAATAAAACAGTTATTTGACCTATATTTGAAGGAATGGGCATGGTGTCATTATAGTATCTGGAACATTACCTGTCGCTCTTTTTTATCCTTTGAATAAGGCAGAAGTCTGTTGCCAAGATGCTTTGCCAAGTTGGACTTGTTGGCTGCTTAGGTCTGGGTTTAACACATATTTTACAGATGTCCGTGGGTTCACTCTGACTGTCAGCTGTAAGAGGAACATTAATATATTTTGTCTTGTACGTCTCCTTTGTGGACAGTCCGTGGATAATCAGGAAAAGCATTTGTTTTGCAGCCATGCTTTTTTGTTTTCTCACCATGAGTTTGCATATGAGAGAAGAAAAAGCAGTTGGCACGCCCACTTGGCCTAAAAAAGTAGAAACAGAACACTGCACAAACCCACTGCCCTGCTGTTGTCCATGGAGGCAACGCAGAGGAAATATGGCTTCATCTAAAACACTGTCAGTCCTAAAGTACAGATGCTAATAAAATTGCGAGTAATGTTGTTTTTGAACTGCAGGGTATTGCAATACTTGAGGACACACTTTCCACTAACAAATAAGTGTTTCCTCTTTTTTTTTTTTTTTTTTTTTAATATCGCCTTATTCTCAGGCCCTGGAAAACTTCCAAGGTCTTTGCTGAGGGTTTATTAAGTTTAGGTCATGCTGTATAATTTTTATATACATCATATTCACATCAATTTACTTGTCATGAGGCTGACAGCTGCTGCTAATAATATTATCTCATTCATGCAAAAAAAAGGAGTTTTACAACAAAACATCCAGATAAAACAATCCGGCACAGTACAACTAATTCAACTCTGGCGGCTAAAAGTACAGAGAATAGATAAAGTACATCTGAATAATTTAATCAAGACCATAATGACATAATCAAGGGTGAAAAAAAAAGGAAATTGGGGGGGAAAGCAGATTTAAAACCAAAGTAAAGCAGTTAAATTAATGAAAGGCTTCTTTTCGTATTTTACGGAAGGAAGAAGAAATGTCTCTGGAAAACTGACTAACCAGCAGACTGATTACACCAGTAATTATTCACATTTTTCATCTAAAAGTTAGTAAATGTTGAAAACTTTCAGACTGCAATCATTAATCAGTTAGTCAGGACTGTCTGTATCTGCTTTAAAGAAAGTGCCTCAAAGTTTAATGCCGATTTCTAGAACTTTTTTTTTTCTGAGTGCTGCACAAACTGTATTTTTTAATAATAAAAGCACCACTGAACTGTTAACGTGACACATGTAGTGTGTGATCCAGTGCGGCGTACACTTCAGTCACGTTGTTTTTCTTTTTGGACAAAGAGATGCTTTCATTAATAACTGTTTTCTTTCCTCAGAGGCTCACGTGGAGCTCAGCACAGACAAGTCAGGCAGCTCGGCTAGGAAGGATCTTTCTGCCTCCTCTGGCCCTCGACCTGCCTCCACCTTCACTCAGAGCCCTGCAGCCATGCAGCCCACCTCCCTGGAGCAGGTAAAGGCCACGGCTAGAGCTTGGAAATTACTGATGGCATGCATGCTTTTGTAATGCTACACTGTTGTTACTATGTATTGTGCCAAATGTTCAAACTGTTTTAGTTTGAGTTTTATCAGTGTGGTCTTGTTAATTGCAGTTGGAGGAAGAAGAGGCCAAGGACAGTTTTGACGTGGATGTTGCCGTCACCAACCCTGAGAAAGTTGGTGAGTTTATTTTTATTTTGTACACAGCTATTTGCAGTTAATTCAGATGATTTATTTGGAAAGAATCTGGATATTTATAACATTAAATAGGTCACTTTCTAATTTTGTTTCAGCAACCTAAAATATTTCAATGGCATTAACTATAATCTAATTAATTGTCTTCTCTAATGTTTCTTTCCTCATAGGAGATGGCATGAATGCATATGTGGCCTACAAAGTATCCACCAGGGTCTGTAGTAACATTCATATATCATTTGTTATGTCACATGGCTGTCTGGTTCGTACCTTTCTCATGTTCTCTCCCTGTTTCATCCTCCAGACTTCCTTAACCATGTTCAGGAGTAAGACCTTCTCTGTGAGGAGGCGTTTCAGTGACTTCCTGGGTCTTTATGAAAAGCTGTCGGTCAAGCAGTCGCTTCATGGCTGCATCATTCCACTGCCACCTGAGAAAAGTGTCGTAGGTAGGTGGCAAGCTCTTCTTTTTAACCTATTTGTTGTGCACTTTTTGGTCTCCTTTTGTGACATTGTGTCATTTCAACCAACAGGAATGACAAAAGTGAAGGTTGGGATGGACGACCCATCATCAGTGGAGTTTGTGGAGAGAAGAAGAGCAGCTCTGGAGAGGTGATGATCCAGACATTACTGATGAGCTGTGGTTCTACTAAGTGCTCAGATCTTTTAGTTCCAGAAACTGAAAAGTTCCTTCAGACCATTGCTTAAAAGCCCAGCGAAGGTTTGTCAAGTTAGTCAGCTGACGCATGATAAAGCAACAGCTGCTTT